AAATGTTTACACACTGAAACCCATTCATTTGCTTTCCGAAATTTATCATTGTAATGTTCATGGCCTTTATCCCATATGATCGGCCTTTCTTGCACCAAGGAGATGAGAAAATCTATATCAATCTCCTCCACACTCATGCTGAGATACGAAAATATCGTGTTCGTATGTCTCCTTCACTCCTCTGGCAGTGCAACACTGTCCGTCACAACTGTCCGTCGTCGCACTGAAGCTCCGACATCGCAGCGCAATCCGTTGAAAACGTCGCGAGCGACGACGCAGCGCTCTAATGTGGCATACCATCTAAAATACATGGAAAACGACGCAAGCGTTGACGCTGCGACGACGCAGCGCAACGCAACGCACTAATGGGGCAGCAGCCTTATAATTACACACAACGCGGGCGCGGTGATGATTTCCCATAATTCTCCTCAGTTTTTTGTAATTTATAACTTTGAACATAACCTCTCTTCAGAAAGCACAACATATAAATAACCCGTCATATTCGGCGTATTCAGTAATGATTTTCTCTCTCAGCAAATATCACTGATTTTATACACATGCAGACCAATAGACATAATCATCCAGATGCGATCTTGCTATTCAACCAACTACATACCCTGCCTCACAAAACGATGCAAGCAATAATGCGTAGCTTAGTTGAGTGATTCCTCCATAGATGGACGTTCACAACGATCCTAGTGAGCAAACGTGGAATGACTGTTTGCGCCCTAAAAACTACCTAGTCTGCAAGTTGACATCTTATAGACCTTTTTGACGTTTTATAAGTTTTTTACATGATACCCGTCCTGGTTGGTATTAGCGCTATTTTATATGTTCTATTGATTTTTTATTTTCAACGCAGAAAATTAATTTTTGTTTGTTTTTAATTTTTATACTATAAAAGAATTGTGTCTAAAAAAATGATGATGATAATATAATTTCAATTAAGAAGTGTTTGGTCCATACTCCAGCTATCATTATCATCTATGTCTATTTTGTCTTGGAAGTCCCTGTATATAAGCACTGCAGTGCGTTTCGTTCGTCCGAGATGGCAAATTATATATTTAGTTTTTGAAAATTGAGTGAAGTTAAGATATCTTGTTTTCCAAACAGAAGAGGTTCTTTGTTATGATATACTTCAATGCGTGGATACCAATAATGCCGTTTATTTTACAATATTTGTGTAACTTTTAGTGCTGGTTGATGGCTGCTGTTGTCAGGATGAGTAAAAGGAAACAGAATACCAGCGATTGGTTCTTTCTAAACAAATCAAACTGTCTCATCCGCCGGCACAAGAATTACCGGAAAAAACTGATGATAATCCTACAATTCAACCTGAGCCTTCCACTCCAAAATTTCTTGACGTTGCACCGCATGCTGAACCAAGTGTGGAACAATCGGATGCGAAACCTAAAGGATCCAATTTTGTTGATGTTGCGCCATATGTAAATTTCAGCGGCAACTTGTCTTCCCATGAAAAATATACCTTATTGAGGTGTGCAATGATCCCTAATGACTCTTTCAAATATCCCTATTCCTCACACTTGAAAAATAAAAAAGAAGATTTTACTTATAAAACAAACGCTTTGAGAAATTTCCTTGGCTGTCATATTCAGAGGAACTACAAGAGCTTTCCCGTAATATTGCGTGGTTTTTGCAAAATTAGGATGAGTACATAAATCAACTAAATTGGGAAAACTTGTTACCGTACCACTAAAGAAATTTTCGAAATTGTTTAGCAGAACCGGTGATTGTGAGCCACATGGAACTCATTATATCATACAGAAGCAGTTTCAGATGCTACAAAGTTTTTAAAGATTTACAAAACTCCAGATAATCATATAAGAAATATAATAGGTCCAGAGCGAATTAAGCAAATATCAGAAAATCGGCAAAGATTTACTCCTATAATAGAATCTATATTTTTTTTAGGACGCGAAAATTTACTACTTAGAGGGCATAGATATAGGGGACAACTTTTTTCTAATGATAGCACGAATGACGAGGATGTCCTTAATAATGAAGGGAACTTTAGACAACTAATACGGTTTAGAGTCGAGAGCAGCGACAATTTATTGAAAAAACTTAGAGAACCCAAAAACGCATGTTAAATACACAAGCAGTCGCATCCAACATGAAATTATAGAATGTTGTGGCGAAGAAATCTTGGATACAGTTTTAAGTCGCGTCAAACAAAGTCAGTATTACAGTATTATATTTGACAAAACTACAGCCATTAGCCATAAATCATAAATGTCAATCGTATTACGGTATTGTTATCAAAAATATATTTACCAGGACTTCATGGGATTTGTGGGTTACTACTCAAATTTTGATGAAGATAGAATGGATCCCAAACTCACAGGTCAAATTCTTGCTCAAACAGTCAATGATTTCATAAAAACCAGTAACTTAGACTCAAAACTATTTTTTTTTTTATATCGAAACAGCCGCGCAGAAGCCTAAAGAAGCCTAAATGCCGGAACACCGCGGCTGCTATGGTGATCCCAAAGAAATTTTGTTAATACGATTTTTGAACTGCCTAAGGTTAGTAGAACTGAGAAAAGCTTCCTCTCGTAGATTGTTCACAATCTAGTCGGACCGCCCTCCTCTGGACCGCATCGAGCATGGACAATGTAGTCGGGGCGGCAGCACCCCAAATGTGTGAGCAATACTCGAGGCTAGGCCTTATCTGGGCCTTGTATAGAGTGAGAAGGTCAGTACTTCTTAGCCCTAAACAAATAGCCTAGCTTTTTCCCAGCAGCTGCAGCTATTGAAGAGATGTGTTCGTGCCAGATCAGGTCCTCGGTGATCTGGACTCCGACCAGCCGAAAAGAATGGCTCTTTGGTAGAACTCGACCGTCCATCGAAACTGTATGAGCGCTAGGACGCTTTTTGTTCGTCAAAGTACAGTACTGTGTTTTGGAAGCATTGAACTGTACAAGATTGTTGCGTCCCCAAGCAGTGATAGCCTCCAGGTCTCTTGTCAGAGAAGAAGTCGTCGCTAGTCTTCTTTTTTCCAGCTCAGCGGCAGAGATCGGCTTCTCACTCTGAATTCCTGCATGTAGAGTGCTGTCATCAGCGAAGCTGTGGATTGGGTTGATCCTGCAGGAAAGGAGGTCGTTGATATGTAAGAGAAACAGTGTTGGAGCCAAGACCGATCCCTGGGGAACACCCGCGTTGACGTTGTGGGATGAAGAGGAGAACCCGTCAATTACGACGGATATCTTGCGGCCAGAGATAAGTCAGCCACCCATCTGCAAAGCTTCTCTGGAAGACCGTAGGATGGAAGTTTGCTTAAGAGGGCAGCGTGCCACAGCTGATCGAACGCTTTCGTGATGTCAAGAGCAACGACATGAGCTTCACCATGAGACTGGATGAGTTTACTCCACAGTTGCGTGACGTAAGCTAGAAGGTCCCCTGTGGATCGTTGGTGCCGGAAACCGTACTGCCAGTCGCTAATCAAGCTGTGACGTTCGAGGTAGTCCAGAAGCTCGTGATTTATGCACCCCTCCATCACTTTACTTATAACAGAAAGCAGAGCTATAGGCCTGTAGTTGTAAGGGTCGGTTTTAGATCCTTTTTTTGGGATGGGCTGTACATGAGCAAATTTCCAGTTTTCTGGGAAGGTGCCGGATTCATAAGATGTCTGGAAGAGACGCGAAAGAACTGGAGCAAGCTCCGCTCCACATCTCTTCAGTACAATGGCAGGAATCAAGTCCGGACCAGAAGCTTTGTTGATGTCGAGCGACAAGAGCACTCGTCTTACGGTCTTATGCCTGAATGTTACCTCCCGCATAGTGTGGGCACCCTTTGAATTGACGGCACTTGGGCGTTAGTGGGGGCGTCCATGGTGGAGTTGGCAGCAAAGATCTCGGCTAGCACTTCCGCCTTGGCCTTTGAGTCGAATACAATAGTTCCATCCTGACACGTAAGTGGTGGAAGGCTACTGTGTGAGAAGTTCTTTTCAATCTGCTTGGCCAGCGTCCAGAAAGACCGACTGCCATTGCGCTGCGACATTACCCTGTGCCTAACTTTTATATCATGCTGGTTTTTGGCATTGCGAACCGCTTCGTTATATTTGTTTCTGGACTCGACGTCGGCTTGTCTGTTCTCTACAGTGGGGTTTTGTAAGTAGGTTCTGTGGGCCTTGGTCTTCTGCTGGCGAGCAGTGTCACACGATTTGTTGAACCAGCCGTTGGAACCTGGTTTAGGAACTTTCACTGTGTGAGGGATGTATTCCTCCATTCAGACGTGGATAATTTCGGTTATTGAAGAACAGACAGTCGACGCATCCGCGTCAGTGAAACAGACATCTCTCCAAGGAAAGCTAGAGAAGAAGTCTCTGAGCCCCTCCCAGTCGGCATGTCCGTAATGCCAAGTTTTGCGGCCTGTGCCAGTTTCTGCTGCCACAGCGGCTTCTGACCGAAACCTAACCTCCACAACACCGTGATCTGAGTTACCCAGGGGGGACAGGACAGCAGTGCTGTAAGGGGCAGGATGCGTGGTCAGAAAGAGATCCAGCAGGCTACTGGCGTGTGACGAGACGCGGGGGAAAAAAGTATTGCTCGTTACCAGCTGGGTCAGCCCTTGAGTAAGAGCGAACGCTTCGACTGCACTACCTGCTGCATCGGTCTTATTTGAGCCCAACCAAAGCTCATTATGGGCATTGAAATCACCGAGAAGAACTACCTCTGAAGCGGGGTGATTGATGTTCAGGAAGTCGATCTGGACGGCGAGGTATTCGAGTAGGTCATCCCAGTTATGGTTCCAGGGAGAGCGATAAAGGCAGCAAATATGTGGACATTGGTACTGATACGTGTAACTTATTGTTAGGTGAACAAAGGGGCACTGTAATGGAATTGCTAAAATGTTTGCCAAATGCTCTAAAAAGACCATGCGCAAATCATGCCTAGAATCTTTCGATTTCAGAAAGTAGCAGTGTCCAAGCAGTAAGAAATGCTGTAGGTATAATGAAGGAAGTAATTGCGTTCTTCAAAGCATCCGCTAAAAGAAGTACAGCATTAAAAAGAAAACTAGACGGATACCAAATTCATAGTATGTGCGAAACGCTATGGACCGAGAGACTTGATTCTGTGCTCCAATTTGAGAGCAAATTCTAGAAAATTGTAGAGTACCTCTACAATATTATATCAAATTGGAAAGACCGCGAAGCTTCTTCAAAAGCGGAGTCTTTGAAGACTTCCATTACTTATACCCAATTTATCGTATCACTAAAGTGTTTGTGTGATATATTAGCTTTATCAATCAACCCGAGTAAGATTTTACAATCAAAAACAATTGCCAAACAATACGCTGTCAAACTCATAGGAAATATTATTTCAGTTGTACAAGAAAGACGCGCAAACTCCGAAAAACACTTCAGAATATTATTCGCATCTATAATGAATTCGCATGAAACCCTGGGTATTGAACTGACTGTACCAAGAATAACAAGCAGACAAATGAACAGACCGAACATAGTTACGTCTGACAACGAAAATCATTACAGACTTAACCTATATGTCCCTTTGCTAGATAACATATTACAGGATTTGGTATACCAGTTCAATGAAGAATCAATGAAGAATCTTTGAATATATACAATATATTTCCTTTGCATCAGTATTTAATTCAAAAGCTGAAGCTGAAGTAATGGACATATTAGGAACAATCTCTTAATATTTGCATGGACTAAATAGTAACGAAATCAAAAATTTAATAAGTACCAGATTATAAGCAGAATTTGACGTTTAGGAGGCATGTACACAAGACATTATAGACAGTGGAATGTCACTATACCTATCATGTGATGAAAACATTTTTCTTCAATTAATAGATGCCTACAACTATTGATTTCATTTCCTGTAAGTGTTGCTACATCTAAGAGAAGTTTCTCCCATCTAAGAGGATAAAAACTTGGCCGCGCTCCACTATGTTACAAGAGCGATTAGTGGGTTTAGCTCTTTTGTATATGCATAGGGATATTAAAATAGACGTGAATACAATCATAGATAGGTTTGTCAGCAAAAATGATAGGCTGCTTGATTTTGTAATATGATAACACCTGAATTTTGCATAAGGTTGTCTCTCAAATCCATCTCCCTTCTGTCGGCCAATAAATAAAAAAGCAGATGTAGTTTTACTTACGTTTAAACCACTACGGTGATCTTTTCCAAAGTATCCAATCAAGGTATGTGCTTTTATTTATTGGCCAGCAGATTGATATAAAAGTCTGTTCAAATCACTTTCTAAGCTAATATAATAATTGTTTTATTTTGAGACTGTGAAATGATGTGTTTCATAGTATATATGTTTTTGTTTTTTGAGACTGGTTAAGAGAATGTGCAATGAATATTTGTTGTGTTTTACTCATGATTAAGAATTTTATTTTTAATTACATTCAGTTTTATACTTTATAGAAGTCGTAAAATATTTGTTATTGTTATTTTTTAATGAAGATGCATTTTTGTTGTTTTGTTTGACATTGTTATGTAGAAAAGTCTGTGATAGATTACATTATTTTGCATTTTTGTTCTCGTAATATATGAAGATAGCTCGAGCTTGGTTTGCTTTATTTACACTTTGATTTCGTATGATTCAAAATTAAAAAAATTGGATGTATTTTCTACAAAAATTACTGTAACAAATTCATATGTCTGCATATGTCCATGCTTTTAATGTTAAATCATTATCACACTGAGAATTTACTTTCCATCCTACCCCTTCCAGACTGAAATCCTGGGAGCGCCACTGCGTTCAGCAGCTACTTGGCTTCCAGGTTATTCGTTCTGAATTGTACTGCTCAATGTAAGTGTTCTGAGGAGCAAAGCCCGTTGACGTAGCGGTAGAAGATGACCGACGGTCCGTGGCGTTGGTGCGAATGGGCACCGAGACTATCCGTTAAAGGACAGCCATCGAATAGCGTTAAGAATGGATAATATAGTTGAGATGGCAGTATTTCAAAAGTGTGAGCAGTTCTTGATGGTAGGTCTTATCTGGGCCTTGCACAGACACAAGAGATTATGTAAGCAACTAGCCTAGGCTTTTTTCCAACAGCTGTCGTGATTGAAGAAATTTGTTCGTGTCAGTATAGTGTGAAGTATTTTCAGTTATCTCCTTCAAGGTCGTTGCACTGAATTATGAGAAGACAAATCTGCAAGGTAGACCAAACCATGGTCAAAGTTAAAAAGAGCACACTGACCTAACGATTTCTACAACTCAATACATGCTTCAAAGAGAACTTTTGAATGCAAGAAGTAGTGTTCCGAGTATGTGAAATTGAAAGCATGATCAATGTAATATCAAAGACGCAACACTTCCACAGCATAGCTTGTTTTTATGGCTTAAAAAATGGATCTCGACTGGAGTAGGGATCGATCGGCAGAATCAGGAAGAAACAAAGACGGCAATGACAGAAACCATCGGGGGCTTAGGAGGAACGCCACCTCAGGGAAGAGAAACGGCGGATAGGTACAGGCACGCCGTTATCGTCGGTCGATGCAGTGATGTGAAGTATTTTGACGGTAATTTCGTCTTTGTTATTAAATTATCTGGCAACTTTTCCCCAGGCAGCCAGCGCCAGCGCGAAGTTCACTTTATCTGCGTTTTCCGCCTGAGCGCACGATCGTCGTTCCGGTGCCCGAATGCCTTTGCGTTTGTATATCTTTCTCTTTCTAGCTTGCGTGGAAAGATGGGTGGCCGATGGCCAGGTGAGATAATAGAAGGCAGGTCCAAATAAAAAAGATGTCTTTTGACCTTGATCACAGCTCACAAGTACTATGAATTTTGTAAAGGAACGAATTGCTCTGTAATGGCTTTCGAAAATAAAAAAACACTCCGCTGGTAGATACTGTATCTCTATGTTCTTGGTGCGGTACCAGAGATCGGTAACAGCGGCCTTAAAGGGAGGCTATTCAAATAACTGACAACAATGTCAAAACACCGATGATCAAATACGCAACATCAGGCTAAAAAATTTCGTGGGGATAGGCGAAGAGTTGCAGGACGGGGGGGGAAGGTATATATCAGTTTCTTGGCGTTACTATATTTATACGCTCCTAACCCCGGTAATTCGACATATGTGACCAACAGATGGATTTCCTCATACATTTGCCATTAAGACAAAATTATATAAATCTTGGCATGACCCGCACCGAGCAGACATTGTGTTTTGATTGAATAAGCTCATCGAAGATGCAAGTTGAAGCTGTCGCATCCTACCTATTGCCTAGGTTATGTCATTACATCTGTGATTAGATCGCCACCTTGCCAAATGGGTGGGGACTGGGGACTAGATTGCGTGGACCTATTTGAATGATTTGATCCATTTATAACATGCTCGTAGGTAACCGTTCTAACTGGGGCTAACATGTACCTACCGAGCATATCTTGTATGAACCGAAGACGAGGTTGCGTGGGATGTACAGTGACAACATACTCGACTCCACTGTGATCCTTCGTTACAAGCGAACAGCAGAGTTATTACGTAAAAAACGAATAAAATGTCAAAACCGAGGAAACGTCATATTACTGACTATATAGCTCCTGCAGTACAAATAGTAGCGCTGCAAGCGTCACCTATATCGTCACCTACGCCCAACGATAATGCTACAGTTCGCCAGCATGCTTTGTTGGTTGCAGAATGTCAAGGACAGTCTGTACAGTATATCTCTGAGAAGTTGTGATAAAAGAAAACTGGTCGAGGAGTAGAGTAGCAAGATGACATCTGAACGATGATGTGGTGATGGTGTGAATTGGTTTGTATGTGTATAAAATCAGAGATGTTTGCTACGTGGGAAAATTGTTACTGAATATGGTACCCATGAAGTGTATCCACTGGCTTTTTCTCTCTGAAGAGAGGTTACGTTCAAAGTTATATCTAAAGGTTTATTTTTAGAAAATGCTATATTCACTTACAACTAAAACCACATCACAGAGAAATTATAAATGACGCACACAAGGCAATTCCGCAGCACCTCAAATCTAGGCGCTGATTTGTATTTTCTACTACAAAATAAATTTCTATATAATTTAAGCGAGTGAAGACAAAAAATAACGTAAAATGTAATAAGCTTTTTGCGTTTGATAATATTTCTGTCTGTATTCATTTTTTCACTTGTTAGTTGTACGACCCCACAACCAGAGAATTACCCTTGTTGTCTCTCTCATTTTTGAAATTCAGAAGATTTTCATATGTAACGTCCAGGATGAACAAGAAAAAACTAATTTCTGGCTTTGCGTATATCTCAAGTTAGTCTATTTGGGACAAGAAACCAATGGAATTATCATCAACCAGGTTATTAACACACAAATCCTCGCTATTGACTATACACCACAGCTATGCACCTATCCACTGCCATTTCTATCTAGCTATGGCATATAACTTGTAACAGTTGACATGTCACAAAGAAAACCTGTATAAAGTCAAAAAAAACGATATTATGTCACTTTCAAGATACGTAATAGACCTGCAGGGCGCATACCGCCACAAGATTTTCAATTACATGGATTTCACAGCGGATGAAACGAGTTGGACAAGTCCAAACCACAAAGCGAATGATAACACTGCTTCAATCACTCGTGACAAAATGAAGAGCTCGTTTATCCGCTGAGCTAATTTGTTATGACTACACCACTCGCACCGGGCCGTGGAGTGCTTAGTTTAATTATTAGAACGATAGCGGACGTTGGAGAAGAGTTGAGCAAACCAGGATGGAGAGATAACAGGCGTGGGGTGCCGCTAAGGGATAAAATGGGAGGTAGACGGAAATGGCGAGGTACGGTTCGATTGCTTTTTCAGAGAATTTTCAAGCCTTTTAATATGATTACTCGTAGCATGAGTTTTTGCAAAGCTTATTTCGGCAGAAAAAGGGTATTTAGAGTTCGATTTATCGACCTTCCTTGAGGTTTGATACGTCCTTGATCATAATGGATATCAGATGGAAACAGTGAAACAGTGTCGCTTCCTTGAAGAGAAGAAGAACGGGATTCTTCTTCGCTGGCTGTATCTATTTAGCATTTTGATTAAAAAATTGGGACGATTTGTTTTATTTGTGCTGAATATCAACAAGCAATGCAAAATAATAATGCATTGACTCCTCGAATTACAGCGCAATCAAAGAGAAGTTAAAAACTGAATATAGGCAACTAGGTACACCGAACTGCTTTGCTGTTGCAGATTGCAGACCAAGGGTGGATTTCACCAGGATTGTCAAATCAACAAGCCGTTGTTTTTCACCTATAGGGTAGCGTTACGTCAAATATAGCGAATGAGCATTAAGATCCATTCAACAAT